AATACAAAAATGTCTTAAACCAACAAATTTGACAAATTATTTTGAAGATCAAGTTGACTTCAAATTTTACAACGTACAATAAATGAGACGACAATTGAGTGGTTGGAAGCTATAGCTCCTCGCCCTCAATTCGAGCTCAAACATACTAACAACTAATAACTAAAACTATTACAATCTTTGTGCCCACAACCCTAATAAAAAGCAAATCAAACAAAAGAAGAAAAGAAGACTTGCAAGTAGAGGACCACTCTCCTTACATAATACAAAATGAAAATTTACACTATTCCAAATATACAGCCTTGCTTGCACCCTTATGCTCACATTCTATATTGTACATATATGCATTAAAAGCACAGCCTTCAGCCCCTTTACCTTACACAGCCTCACATCAATAAATATCTTAGTAAACTAGTGAAAGTAACTGTTTAATAAATAGCCTATCAATAAATAGATCATATAAGTACTACTGTTAACATTTGGCCAATTAATATATTTAAGCACATATCATAGTATTAGAGCTGTCAAAATTGGGTCACGGGTCCGAGCCAGGTCTGGGTTCAATTCGGAATTAGCCCAGCACTATTCAACCAGACCTGTTTTTGCAAACGGATAGGTTTTTCGAACACGAACCCGACCCGCTTTTGGTCCAGGTCAACCCTATTTATTTTGATTTATTTAAACCTAAATCAAATTAAGGTAAGATTTAGTTCAATTAATTTAAAATAAATGAAACTTAATTTAGTTTGGACAACATGGTTTATTATTTTTTGGAAATAGTATTTACTTATTTCATAACAATATTTCAAAACCCTCCTAAATTAATTAAAAAAAGGTCAAATAGGGTTGAGTTTGGGTTTCCTAGTCAACCCGAACCCTACAAATGGGTCGAAATCCCTAACCCGGACTCGAAATTTTCGGGTCGGGTTCGGGTCGTGTCAAATATTGACATCCCTAGTTCTAGTTGGTAATCAAATTTCTCAACCAACAAACCAATATAAGCTGCATAGCACTACTCTTTTTATAATTTGCTTTTTGCATGTATAAGAAAATAATAAGCTAAAATATAGGGTTCGTTTAAACATAAAACTACAATTGTTATGGCTTGTTCTATTGATGTCGTTAGATTTATTTTACATTATATATTTTAAAAAATTATAACATAAAATTAATGTAATAGCATTAATAAGAAAATTAGTAATATCTATATTTTTGTGTTAAATATTGACATGTTATAAAAATTAGTTTGATTAAGCATGAATCTCAATGGATATTTGAATTAAAATTTTTTATGAATTTTGATTTCATCAAACTTATAGCCGGACTAAATTTTTGAATGATATGAACACAACAATAAAAAAAGCTGATCAAATTTGAGCCCGAATGAGTTCATTTCAAACACTTCATTTTTATTGGATGATCAAATAATTTTCAAATCTTATATGCTTATAGTTGAAATTGAGCGAGATGAACCCAACGAGTCCAATCCTAACAACATTAAGGCGCTTAAATACTGAATGAACATAAGTTGGATGATGGAGTGTTTAAGGCTTCGTTTGGGACGGCTTTTTCCTGCTTCTTAAAACAGCTTTCTAGTAAAAATTTAGGCTTCGTTTGGGACGGCTTTTTTATTGCTTCTAAAACGGAGTTTTAGTACAAAAATAAAAAAAAAATTGTTCTAAAACTCCATTTTAGAAAGCAATAAAAAAGCCGTTCAAACGAAGCCTTAATTTTTGTACTAAAAAGCTCTTTTTAGAAGCATAAAAAAAGATGTCCAAATAAAGCCTCCATTTTTTCTCATTTTATGTGGCATAACACTCCAAAAAAATCAATTAATATGACACCAATCTCTGCTTGAAAGAGGACATTCATGTCTTTTATCAAATTTATGTGTGCATTTTAAGTATATAGAAGAGATACCATTAAATTCATTTAATGAAGCCTCCTCTATCATCTTCCTTCTGGTCTGTGAGCAGAAAATACAGACATGGAAGAGATTATCCTTTGGGGAAGTCTGCAAGCACTGAAAAGACTCTATAGCTATACACCTCATTCCAATTCTACAAATCAATGAGAGATCAATTGCAACAATAGCAACAGGTTGTGGCAATTCCTCTAATCTTAGATAGATTTATGCTTCCTCTGCATCAACCATCTCCACAACTATGCCAAGCTCAAGTTCTACATATCAACTGAGAAATTATTCTTTGCGGAGATCATACGCAGAATATCGTTAGGAGAGCAATCAGAATGCACCAACATCAGGGAACTGAGCTACGATACCGAGCAAAGGGGTGACATGGCATTTAGGTTTGTCTCCGGACGACGTTCGACGTTCGCATAGAATAATTAATCCAGATCAATGGGACAACGATAGGTCTTACAAAAAAGTATGACTGCATAGGCTAAGTTCCTAAGCATCATAAATGCTTTTCTTTTGTTTTAATCCATAAGTTTTCTTATGACATTCTTTGCCAATTGAAGGGTACATGATAATGGTAGGAATCAAATTACAATTGAAGGGCACAGATTGTTTCTCATATTCTCTTACATTTATTTCATTTTACTCTTCATTCATTTTTCATTCAACCAAACAATCCTTAGAATACTACATGAGATATTAAAATGCATTTTGTGTGGATCGGTTTTCGAAATTTTTATCCAACTTGTTTTTATCCTTCATTATACTATACATGACTACAATATTGTCATTGTTAAGTCTCAAATCCTGTATGAAAAAAATGAGGGTATTGGATTTTGGTAGTCAACACCAGTAAAATTTATCGAATAATCATGACATGAATCTTTTAATATACTGTGTTAATGATGTTTGATACTATATGTGACTTAATAAACTTAAGTTTTTGATTTTACTTTTTATTTTCAATAAATCATATTTCTAATATTGCCTTGGGATTAGATAATAATCAATATATATCTTTCAAAGTTGGTCCATATAACATTCTCTTTCTAACCTCCTATTTTTAGTTGTGAACATGTTCTAATGGGATTATTGGAGCCAATAGTTTCATCTATTATTGTGTTAACATCACTTTGCATAATTTGAACGTTAACTATTAGTGATATGATATTATTAATATTACAATATATAAATAATATATAATATAATATATATAATATAGATATATATATATATATGATTAGTATAAGTGTATATATATATATAGTAATAAATATTAGAAGATTACGCATGAAGAAATCCAATTAGTTGCTTCTAATCTCTAACATAACTATCATAGTTAAGAAAAAAAATTTGTTTGAATTTTTTGATACAAATTATTTTTGAAAATAATTAGATATATTTTAATGTTGTAGATAACAAGTTTTATAATGCATAAATCTAAATATATGTCTCATAATTTTTTAATCCATGTTGTGTATTTTTTATTTAATACAAAAATTTGTATCAAAATATTACATTGAAATAAAATCAATTACACAGGTTTAGACTTTTTCCATCTGGCAATGATAAAGCAGAAAAAATTTAGTTGTTCCTTAATCACATTCTGAATAACGTTATTTTTGTATTATTTTCAAAAGCTTTCTAATATGAACTTCTCCGTTAGAAAATTACGTTCTTTCAAACGACAGTTTTAAAACTATCTTTTAAAAAATATACAAAATAATCAAATGAAGCCTTAATATCGTTATTTAGTAAAATATGAGATTAAGGGTTCATTTGAGACAACTTTTTTATTATTTTTTAAAATACTTTAAAATTTTATTAATTAAAAAAATATTTTAAAAACAATAAAAAAACTGTCCAAAGCTAAACCTGAGTTTTGAACAAAAGTCAACCCAAATTGAGACAGATATTTAGCAGCAAAAGCAGAAATCAAATGTCTGCACAAAATTGAATTTGGAAAACACAGAATATCCTTCAAACCATGAAAATGCTGCAGCACTCTTACCAGCTGTTAGTATCCTGTTTTAGGTAAATTTAGGTTACATTTTGTTTAAATAAATACTGCCAAATAGAATTTTTTTGAGATTTTAAATCCTATTATTCTAATAAATCTCTTTTCAGCCTCATTATTATTAAATTTAAAATTTCTTAAAACCCACCATTCACAAGATTCGATAAATTAAAAAAAAATTCTCCCTTTACAAAATCTTGTATTAAAACAAAGTCAAAATCTTATCTTTAACAATAGTCTAACAATTTATAATTAGGATTTAAGAAAAATATTGCCAAATAATTTTTTTTAGCCACATAAAATCTACTAACTTTCCTTATCTCATTTTCCTGTCTTTTTTTAACTAAATCTTAGATTTAGAGGCTATTTGACTATAAGTACTAAGAGTGTACTACAAAACAAATACAAAGATTTTGAGAATTTAGATATTAGGTTGGAGGTAAAGGTGATGCAAAATAATATTTGAAGGAATTCGAAATCCTTCAATTAATTCATTTTCAATATATTTAGAATTCATCTGATCTAAGCTAATTGTAATACACTGCAAGAATGATGTTTAATTCGCCGCCCACCGTTTGCCACCCATCACCGTCACAATCTATCACCCCTAGCCATCACTATAAACCACGCCCGATCGCCCACAACAGTCTCTCAACACTACCACCATCCTCGTTGCCAAAACAACCAATCATCATTGTCGTCAATGCCCACTACCATCAGATCTTACACTGAATTCATTTTACATCATACCTCACACCCAAAAAAAAAATCTTCTACATTAATTTTACACTCAATCAAACCACTAAATATTTCAAATACAATACATTTAATTTAAACTATCTAAAACAATCTGAATTCTAAATACTTACAATCAAACAACTCATTAATAAATCTGGTACAAGATAGAATTTAAAAGAGATTTACACTTCTCATTGTGCCTTTTCTTCTTCATTTCACCTAACAGGGTTTAGTAAATCCTATAAGTTCAGATATAATAAATCTTGAGAGAATTAAAGCTTGAAAACCATTAGGATGCCAACCTAAATAGAATACCAAACAGCCCTCTAAATCATGAAATATCAGTAAAACAATTTATTAGAACTTACTCATATGTAACATCTATCATATCAAATAATTTTCAAAACTTCTTGCCTCTAAGATGTAGTAAATCTGAATTTACAAAATTTACTAACTCCTACTTGTAACCAAATGGCAATATGAATAAATAATAAAGGCAGGCATCCATATACTGTCAATATTTGGCCAAAATCCCCAGAGAATGGGAAGCAACTATTGAAAACTAAACTTGGAAAAAAATGAGATCAGTTCCTCACCTGCTGCCTCTCTTGTGATGTTGTCCACTGTACCTCATCTATATCACTACAAAAACCTCAGGCTTCTCCTGAAGCACCACCTGCCAGCATTCTTCGCTGCCGATGCTCGGCAACTTTGTAATCGACAACCTCTCTAAAGAGGCTAGAGTTCAATTCACAGTCTTTGCTTCCATAAACTGCAGCTTGTACACTCGCCATTAACTTGGCTATTTCCCTACCTGAGAAACCATCAGTCTTGGCTGCTGCTTCCCTTAAAATATCATCAGTGATGCCTTTGATTTCTATTTTCTGCGGCTGAGGCTTGAAAAGGCTAAGCATGCCACCCTTTCTCTCCCCTGCCTTTACGATGTACTTCTCGAGATAAAGCTTAAGCAGCTTGAACCGTTCGTCTTCACCGGGAAGGGGGAATTCAAGGACCTCGTCAATGCGATCGGCAACAGCGGAATCAAGATCGCCCGGTCGATTAGTCGCAAGGGCAAGAACAATGTCCTTGGATTGATCACCCGTGCGGAAAAGAAGTGCATTGAGAGCGCTTCGCTGGGCTTCACTCATGTAGGTCTTGTTGCGTCTGAAATTGAAATTATGAAGATGGTTCAATGGAATGGTATCACTAGGCAACATCTAGAGATGAAAAGAATCACTTACTCGCATAAGAATGCATCGGCTTCATCGATGAAGAGCAGCAATCCCCGGTTGGATTTCTTCGCCCAATCAAACAATTGATGTATCTTGGTTACTGCCTGTGATCCCAAAGGTGCAACATCTCCACCAGTCATCAATGCATAATCTAGTCCCTGGAGATAATTCGAACGCTTGATTAGACTTGGAAATATACATAGAAAGCTTTCAATCATGCTTATAAATTCAAATTATTTTTGTCATACAGATTTACGAGCCAACTCTCGGGCAGCCATGGTTTTTCCTGTTCCAGGAGGACCATAAAATAGCATATTACGAAAAGGTGCCTGATGCTCTTTTGTATTGGAAGTTGCCTTTGCAAGCTGTTCAACTCTCTTTTGAAGAGAAGGATGCAGAACCACATCGCCAAAACCATTACCATTTGTTGTGGCATTGTTTCCTTTGCTCCGCAATGAGCTCATGGCACGGGAAAATAAACCAGACCAAGGATACTTCCCCCGCGAGGACTCTCGAATAAGAGATGGCTGGCCAAGTATCCGATCGACGTAGCCCCAGACCACCCGAGCACCTTCTCTGTTGATCCAAAAGAAATCTATAAGATATCAACGCAAGAGTGGGCAGTTTATATGAAGATTTGATGGTTCAGCATATAAATGTAGGAACACATACAAGATCAATAAATTGAACCTAAACTTCCAAGAATTGATCTTAGCGAATATCAATTTTATGTTCAAAACAGCTTCTCAGCACGCCCAAGTCATCGATTAGTTAAGCACCATTGTGAGTATTAAAAAACAGGTAGATGAGTATAAGCATGCAACAGTTCTTCATTCTTCAAAGTTAAAGAGCAATAGAGCAAGTTTTGCCAGACGACCAACCAGCTTTGTTCTCAATAAAGGCAGATGTAGAATAAAGAAGGAAAACATGAAGCATGGGTTTCATTAACAAAGGAAAATTTTATAGAAATGTTATTAGGCTCGTGATTTTATGTGAATCTAAATGCTGACCAGTAAAAAGTCAGAAATCTAAGTTGATTGCGAAAAAAATGAGAATATTAAGATAAGAATGAGATGAAACTGTGAAGGACAACTTAAGGAATGATTATATTAGTAAAATGGTTGGAGAAATATTTATTGAACATTTGATAATTGAAAATACAGTTACGTGTTTGGGCACATACAACAAAGAGTAGAAACTACACCCATAAGATAATTAGATAAAATTAGTTTCAGAAGATTTATGAATAAAAAAAAGGATAAATCTAAGGATTACATGAATAGAAGTTGTTTAAAATGATTTATTAAGAATAGGCTTACTATCTCAAGCAATATTCAAGAAGAAATAATGAAAAATAAAAGTTCATAAAGCCATCACAAAATATTTAGGATGAGGCTAATAATGATAATAATGATGACTAAGAGTTTTGTTGATAAAAACTCATACTTCCTTGAGAAAATGAAAGATAAAAAGAAGTAATGATGAAATAAAAAGTCATGAGATCTCTCGGAATTTTGAATTCTAGAGATTAATACTTGTTGCGTATATCAAAAAAGAAGGTTATCCATAGAGGAATGTCTACATAGATACCCCCGAAAATGGGCTTAGTAACAATAGCATCACTTGCAATACCAAGAAGCAAAATTGCATGATAATCTTTGAATTTAGTTGCATTCCAAAATTAAACAAATGTAAACTTTACAAAAAAACAAAGAAGCCCCAATCAAAGGACTCTAGGTTCAATGAGAGGGCCAACCCAGAAGGTTAAGGCCTCTCCAGCCAAATAAAGTTTTAATTGACCAGACTTTGTTCAAGTAAATATTGAGTTGGATAAGCATAGATTAAACATGAATGTTTTGAAGGCTTTCACTGAAATGTAGCTAAAACTCAAAACCATCCTGAAAATGCGAAACTGTTCTCATATCAAAACAATTAATTTAGGTATTTCTTCTATCAAAATATTACTGCTACTCAGATTGATAAGACAAGATGCATCCTAACGCTTATTCTGTGTATATGGCTGAGAATAAAGTAACTGCAAAAGTAAGAACATAGTAACTAGATGGCAGGCAAAAGTGTACTGTTATTATATTAACAATTGAACTACCTGTGTGTACGTATGTGTATGAGAGAGAAGAGAGACAAGGAGAGAAAATAAAGCAAAATGGCCAAACAAAAAAATTGCCAAACCCATCATCGTAACTTTGGAAATCTGCTGCTTTATTACCTTGTAGTGTAGATCCCTGCAGCAAGGGCTGTCACCCCACCCACCGCAACAACCAACTTATCCTGATCTGTAAGTATTGCTCGCAGCCCACCTGAGGAATAACAAGCAAAAGTTGAATTAACTCAGCAGAACATTAACTTAAATGTTTGCAGCCAACTAGAGAGTTAATATCCCAAGCTTCCAAGAAATCATCACTACACGAATAAGTAATCATCAATATAGGCTGCATTGAAGAATGCAGAATTTAGCAACATTTGTTCAATGTTTCAGGAGATTGCGACACAAAATAGTATAATGCCACAAATTCTTTCTGAAGGGGAAGCCAGTACTGTACAAATCATGAAATTTCTAAACAAAGATAATAAATTGTTCAACTACAGAAATCTTTGCTAAAACAAAAAAAGGAAGGCATGCAAGTCAATTACAGCACTGCTTTAGTCTAGTTATTAGATGCAAACGGAATGAGGATTACAATATTGCTCATCCGCCAACGTTTTGAACGAAGCACTGGATATGAAACAGTAATCAGTGCAGTAATTCACTCAAATTTGGGATAAAAAAACTCATTTTGCACATATTTGGCACACCAGCACAAAGATAAAACCAAGGGGCTGTTTGTTTCATTGGCATCAGCTAAATAATATCATGTTATTAGTAGTTATTATCTTTTTTACTCTCGGATCTTAAATAAAAATTTCATTTGAGGCACTTAAATCCTATCTTGTTGGATCCAAGATCTTAGTCAACATCCAGGCGTCAGGTCATCTAAAGGCTAAAAATTGACTACAAAAAAAGAAGGGTGTCAACATCACTGATAGCACATTTGATAGATAATATTATCTGAATAGCCATATCATCTAGACAACAAATTTAAAAGAAAGCCCGGGCAACTTAAACCAGAAACCTACTTTCAAACATTTTAAGTCCTTCCCTAAAATGCTGTGACTTCTAACACAGGGACTAAATTGCTAAAAAAAAATTGCTATCCCAACCAAACTCATAAAAAATAGCTAAACAACTTAAATGAGGAAGGAAACATCACCTGAAACTCAAAAAATCAGCAGCAAAAAACTGGAAACATGAAAAGGGTATTAAATGGAAAACAAGTGAATAGGACCATGCATGAATACATCAGAGTTATCACCTCCTATATGCTCAAATGTTGTATTTATAGCTGAAACCCATTTCTCTCTTTCAGCATTGGCTTTTTCTACAAGCATCCGTCTATTTACCTCTTCAGCAAGTTTTGCTTCATGTGCTCTCCCTTCAGCTTCTGCCAGAGCTCTGACTCGGATTGTCTCACGCTCAATCTCTGCCCTTTCTTTCTCAGTCTGTCGTTTCTGAGCTTGAATTTGCTCTTCAGTAGCCCGTCGAATTTGCTCCTGTCTAATGGAAGATTCTTCTTGCATTTTGACAAGTTCTTGATTTCTTGCTCTTTGACTTTCATGTTCTGCCTGGCATTAACAAAAGAAAATCTTAAGATCATCAGTTATAAGCAACAAAAACTATTTCGAGAATAAGGAAATGGCATGCCTGCATCCTCTTTCTAGCCAATTCATCCTCATAGCGAGCCATTTGAGCCTTTGTTTGTGCCTGTTGCTGAACCAGTTTTTTCTGTTCTTCATATATCACACGTTGCCTATCCTGCAAGATAGGAAAAATTCAACATTTTCCAAATTATCATGAAGATTCATATCAAACATTTCAAAAGGTGATACTTTAAATGCATAATATAATACAAAAAGGTAACTCTGACATTTTAGTAAAGCAAAGAAATTCTAAAAGACTTCTCTAAATGGGGCTACACTCGAATAAGATCTTCAAACGTGACAAATGTAACAGCCCTTTCTCCAAACTAAACAAGCAAGCTTAGTTTTGCACTTGTGCCCTTTAAGTCTGCCTTCAAATGGGAGGGGAAGAAAAAGAAACATTACAATATATTCCTGGCAAGACTGACCGTTAAAGCTTATTGGATATTGTGCTGACTGCTGCTATTTTAGTTTCATTTTCTACTTAAATGGTGGCGTATTCATAAATTTTAATATCTATAAAAATAAGATGAACACAAAAGCCTTCAAGCAACTTCCAATATAAACACAATTGCTTTCATTTGATTTAAAGCTTAATTAAAATTTCTATTCTCAAAATAGTATATAAATAAAAAATGATATAAAATTAGTTACATTTTTCATTTTCCATACTACAAATTTGGAGTAAGCAATGTACCTGATGCGGACATCGGTACGAAGATTTGGCGCATCTATCACAGGCGGCGTCATAAATCGACGGGCATTATTTAAATTTTCATTTATGTATTATTTTCTGAATTTTAGCTCTTGTTTTATGTATTTTCCTATTTTATCCCTAGGATAGTTTATGTGAGTGTCTTGGCCCAAGGGGCATTTTTGTAATTTTGATTTTCTCATGTTATGGCCTATATATAAGGCCTTAATCTATTGTAATGGGATGGTTGATTAATATAAAAAAATTTGTTTTCCACAATGTGTTCTTTTCTTCTTGAGAGAGTATTATTATTATTATTATTATTATTATTATTATTATCATTATTATTATTCAAACAAGATGAGCAATTACAACATGTAGAATCAATTTTGTTTAAACATAAGGATTGCCAAATTATTCTTGATGCAAAAATATGAATAGTGTTATACTTGTGATGTGGAACTACTAGGAGTTACTTGAGAAATTAAAAAAGGCAATTGATTAAAACTTGCTAATAAAATTATTGCTTGCAAATAAAGAGAAGTTAGGAATTCCAAGTATTCAACTTGCTTAGGCAAAGAAATGCTTTTGAGATTAAACCAAACAATCCAATCAAAATTCAAATACAATAGTAGATGTTACACCCACATAACATAATCCACCATTTAATAACGAGAGGTTCACCTTGAATACCTTCTCACTAAATCACTCTTAAGCTTAAGCGGAGAAAAATGAACCATACGAAGAAGGATACTACCACGAGGAAGGTGGCGCCAAAAACCTTCATTGATGGAGAGTAACCGACGGTGGAGGAGGCGGTGGATGACTGACGATTATCCAACGACCCGGTTGAATGTGCACTTCAATCGATAACGTTAGTTGATATAAGATGCGGTCGATGTATCCATCAACCGTTTTGTCGTTACCAAAGTACACATCAAAGAATGGAGATCCAAGAATATCCGTCCTTCCTTGCTTGTCGAAGACAAATCCGTGGTCGACCTCAGGATCGGCCATCCATATTTGCCTTGATTAGTGGGAGCAAGCTAGTAGAGAGGAGAAGGGGTGGAGGCGGCTTGGTGAAGAGAGGGGCGGCTAGGGTTTGGATGAAGGAGAGGTGGGAATTTTGATAATCTGAATTTAATTTCAAGTTTAAGTGATATTGGAGGGAAACGTTTTGAAATTAAATTCAAATTCAAATAGAGTTTGGGCTTCAATAGGAAAAACTAGGGAAGAAGCACAATAATGGGCCGGCGACATAGGGGGAGAAGGGGAAGGATTGATGGGGATTTAAAAGCTTCCAAATTAAGTTTTCTCAATAAGGAAGAGGAAACTTAAATCAAATCCAATTTAAAAATAAATTGAATGATGTTTAAAACTTTTCAAAAATGGCTTTGTCAAATTAGGAAAGATTTTGAAATTCAAAATTTGAATTTCAAATTGAGGAGTTATCTTCCTAAATCAATGGGGCTATTTTGGTAAGTGGTAATGATGACATTAATCATCATTAACGGTGGGATGGCCAATGGGGAGCCGGCGACATGGTGGTGGGAGGCTTGGGAATTCGGTTGGGGGAAAAAGTGGGGTTAGGCCGGCGGTGGGGCTTGAGGGGTAGAGTTGTGAGGGGAAATTGGGTGGGCAAAAATGGTTGACAGCGAAGGGACTAGGGTAAGCCGACGGGTGGGATGGGGAGAAAAAAAGAAAAGCAAAATGAAATAAATGGAACCACGAGCCGCGGACCCTTCCGGCGACTGGCGGGTATTGCGCTTGCTCACCTCGAGCTCTCTCTCCCTTCTCTCTAGTGCTCACACAAGAAGAATAAGAAAATACATAAAATTTTCATTATCAAATCATCATCCTCTTACAACACATAAGACCACAATATATAGGTCTCAAACATGAAAAAAAGAAAAGTACGCAATTGCCCTCCGGGCTACAATAACAAGACACTTACCCATAGGGGTAAATTTGGAAAACAACAAAACTACATAAATCATAACATAAAGAAATGCATCAAAAGTAAAGGCGCTGAATCGTAACTGTCGATCTACGATTCCGTCATCGATACACGTGTATGAATCTCTGAACGATGTCCTCATCAACTTGTTTATCTAAGACTTTTGATAAAAGGAGGAACAGAGAAAATAGAAAAAAGATCATGGAAAAATAAAGGGCATCCAAGAATGGCCAAAATCAAGCACCTTGTCAAAAGTGAGGAACTTCACAAGTGTTTGTCAATGCAAAAGGAGGTTCATTCACCAGCTCCCAAATGTTGGCCACCCCTCAACATGCCCTCTCGCGAGTTAGCCAAAAATCAACTAATAAAAGCTCAAGGAGAATGTCATCCAATTGCTAAAAGAGATCACTAAAGCATCAATTTGAGCCCTTCTTTTCCTATTTCCCGTAGATCCTTTCAAGTTAAAGAATGATGAAACTAGTTATGCCATTGGAGTCATAAACATTCACTATAAGATACTTCAGCCTATCATTCTAAAATGTAGTATTGAGCTCATAAAAATTAGTCAACAATGAGTTATTTGCATTGCAGTCAGCTACAGAGTATTAGAGAAACCTTTTAGGGAAGGAGACAATCCTATATGTAGATTGCCAACCACTACAACGTCTAAAATTCAATCAAAATTATAGTAAACAGGTCACATGAGGTGGATGGCATACCTATATTGGTGTCAAAGTGACCAAATTATAAATATATTTAGACTTTATTTGTGATAATGCTGATCTTGCCCTTGCATCATGAAAATTTTAGTGAATTATAAACAATTGATCATGAGTTCATGGAATCAAAAAACTCAAGGAAGATTAGTCATCAGCTTTTTGCATGATTCATGAAAGATGGGCTACTCAATTATGACCATTAATTATACACCCTTCAACAAATTAGCCCAATATGCAATTGGAGGTGAAATTAATCTCAAATGATGTCTCCTCTAAAACATGTCGAAAATTGATGATAAAAAAGAAGCCAGTTCCAATACTTGGTCAGCCTTACGAAAGCATCTTCATTGACTTCCTAAAACTCCTATCTGAGATTACGAAAGGAATAATATTATTAGGTTTAGTGAGGTTATGTGTTTAGCTCCATACGAAAAGACGCTATTAGTCCAATATGCATCAATTCATATATATATAGTTGATTGCAAGCAACTAAATTCAATCTAGGCTAGTTCAAAAATGGTATCAAAATATTGGCTTATAGCTCTGAGAAAAAATTGATTAAATCTTTAAGCAATCTTCAGGCTAAACTCTCAACCCTACTTACATGCATATAGACTCTATAATGAATGTTGAAAGCCATATTTGAATCTTCTTTCCTTCATGATAATGAAGACCAAAGAGTAGTTCTGTCTATTGTATAGGATCTAAATGTAAAACAAAGAGGGGTACCACAAGAAGACAACATTATGGAGAAGAAAACCACCACCATTATGCAAAAAGAGCAAAGAAGGTTATAAGATTGCAAATATGGTAACACAATCAAGCAAGCTAAATGAAACAAGGAAATGTGAGCTACAACAAAGGGAAGCAAGAAGATTTCCCATTCTAACTAATTGAAGAAATAAAATGAAGGAAAAGGGGTGGTGAACTGAATAATAGAAAATGCACTCAATTGATGAATAAATAAAATTAGTTTTTTGAGGACTAAGGATGATAAGAGTAAAGCCTAAGATAACATTGTTAAAAATTGTTCAAAATATTTTCGAAGAATAAGTTTAATAAATTAGGAGCGCCGGCCAAGAAAGAATAATAATGAGGATTCATAAATTCAGAACTAAATAATAAATAAGCATATTGATGATGATGATATATGATAATGAAAAAAAAAAAAACTAAAAGGCTCTAAACGCCATTAAAAGTTGGTTAAAATGCAAGACAATTGAGTGTACATAAGCCATACATGAAGCTACATAGAAGGCTACATGGACTGAAGAATCTTACCTACTCAAACTCTTATCCTCAACAAGAATACAAGGGCCTATTAACTAGGAATGAGAAGAGAATAACTCCACTTATCCCATTTTGAGGATGAAAAGCATTCGTTTTGAATTTGAATAAAGTGTTTTTCCTTTTTTTTAATAGGAATTCATTAAGGAAGATATGAATGAAAAGCAATTATATTTCCTTTCCCTCAATCACTCTTTAATGCTCAGCCTCTCTAGCTCTTTTTCTCTCTTATTCTCCAAAGAATGGGGCACAAGCATCTTTCTTCTCTACCTAAGGGCTTCCAAGGAAGGAAAAGAGTAAATTAGATCAAGGGAGAATTCAAAGAAGAGAAGAGTTATCATTTGGTTGGTAAGCTCAAGTAATCATCTTAGTGATGAGAACATCCGATCGTGAAAAGTCTATCAGAGAAGGAGCAGGAGATCGACGGCTACGATTAGGCCAATTTATTTTTGAGCATCTACTTGTATTTTATTTTATTATGTATATTTTTCGTTTTTACCCTCACTTGAGGGAGTAGGCTTATGTGACCCAGGGGCACTTTTATCATTGGACATGTTATTGTATTTTGTTTATTTATATACCCCTCTCCCTCTTTGGAGAGGATGATGATTATTATGATAAAAAAATTTCTTCACTTTGTTTCTTGGAGAGTTATGAGAGTTCTTGTGTTTGAAGTCCATTGGTGAGGGCAAAGCACTACCCATCAACCGCATGAAGCCGAATTTATTAATTATACTCCATTCCACTTTATAGATCTTAGGTGGTCAAACTTGGAGTTAGAAATCCTTCCAGGGGCGGATTTAGCATGGGGACCCTAGGGGCACGAGCCCCCACTAACCGCTTAGCTAATGCTTAATTAGGATTAATTACAGTTTAAAAACAAGCTATGTATAATAATCCATAATTAGGGGGAAAAAATAGGCCATTATTTCCTTTAAGTATTCCACGCTCCCTTCCACCGTTCCAATTTTTCATGCTTCTTCGAACAGTTTTGGTTCCACACTTCTCCTTCCGCCGTTTCGGTTCCGCGCTTCTTCTCAAATTTGCACTTCCTTCCGGCTTTTGCGCTTACTTTGGCTAATCCATTGCGAGTAATGAACAATGAACTCGTGGTCCTCGTAACGAGTCTGGTTTGTGAGTCTGTCCGGAGTCCCTACTCCCTCACTTCTTTTAGTCACCCAATCAGGTATCTCTATCTCTGAGATATAATATGGATTCGTATTAATATTGCTTCTTACTATTTTTTGACACTCCTGATATTAAGAAGAGAAAATTTCTAGTGAAGATGAATGTTCTTAACAAGATCCTGCTACCTGCATCATTTAAAAAGCTTTCTATGTGAAATTAAGATATATCTATTTAAGAGCCTAAATCATTTAAAAAGTTTTCTCTGAGAGATATATTAATTCGTATAAAGATTTACTAATGTTCATCTTTGGTTTTTCTATCAATGCTTGTTAATATAATTTTTGCATAATTTTAGGGTTTAAATTGAGAAGTTTTGAAACAAGCAAGTTAAGACTGGTATTGGAGCAAAAAAATTTCCCTATACAAGTTATGACTTTATGTTATTTTTTACACTTTATGTCTTGCAATGTTATAACTTTGTTTACTTATGCCGGTCCCAAGCCCGGATGAAAAAAAGTTGAGGGGTTTTTAAAAATTCAATCATTTGTGCCCCCATATGAAAAAATCCTAGCTCCGCCCCTGGATCCTTCGGCCTTAACAAAAGCATGATAATAATGCAGACATTTAGGCAGTTCCTTTGTGTACATCGTATAACTTAAGTGTCTGAAGCTTCTCCTACGGCTACGGGGTACCAACTCTCCAGTAAGATGCTTACATCTTCCGTTTGTTCTCCGGGAAACTATCCTGTGATTTAATATCATTATTTACATACAGCAAGACAATAAAGATTGAGATTTTAATCCAGCTGTAGACGGCCTTTTTTATATTTCTGCCATCAGAGCTATAGGAAGACCAAAGCCTCCTTTCAAAGATAGTATAATTCCAATTTCAAACTTACAGTTTCATGCTGAGATTGTAGAGCCTGGAACTTTGCTTTCTCTGCAGCCAACTCTGTTTGCCTCGTCTCTTCTTGCTTTCTCAACAATTCAAAAACCTACAAAAACAAAAGGCAATTTACAACTTAAGTTTATATTCTAAGACTATGTTATCAAACACAATAAAATAAAGCAATATCATGTGGCTACCTTCTTGGCGTGCGATGAATTGTTGATCTCTCTCAAGGCTTTAGCTCCCCTCTCCAACGCTTCTGGATCGAATCCTGACGCAGTGGTCCGGGGATTGTCGTTGCGCACCCTAGTCTCCTCCGGCGAGGGGGGCTGCTGCGGAGGGCCAGCCCCAGTAGCGGCAGCGCCGGCGGAAGAATCTTGCAGAGGTGGTGTAGAAGGAGAAGAGAAAGCAGGAAAGTGGAATGTGCTATCGGCGTAGGCCCAATCCACCGCCACCGCCGCCGAGGCTACGGCGGAGGATAGAAGTGCAAGGGGAGCTCTAGCCATGCCCTCGCCGAAGAATTTTAGACCAGAGCTGGAGGTAATTGGCGGAGTAAAGCAGCCCCCGTAATTTGGGGAAAAAGAAGGGTTTTGAGAAGCGTAGGGTTTAAGAATGAAAAGGCGTTGCAGGAAAATGGCTGCAACAGCCGTTGATCGTGAAAGTGGGCAATTGATGTCCGTTCGATGTGCCTTGCCACCCAAGCTGGCGCTAGGGTTTAATGGAACTATCTATTCTATTGTGTTTTATATGTAAATTTTGAGAAAACTAATTTGGAGTTATTTCATTGCAAATGTATACTACTATTATAAATGAGTCTGAATTTTGTTCCGCATCAAATCTATCATTCATTTTAATTAATTTTAATTATTCAAATCAAATCTCAACCTTTTATTTTAATTATTATAATTATAATTACAAGGATAAAATGGAACTATCTATTCTATTTATATCTATGACTTATTGAAATACATATCATGTCAATGATATCAACCTATAAAGTTGTACAAAACTGCATATGCAATAACCAAATCAGCTTGAACAATAACATGAAACTTCCTCATGTGAGTCAACACTTGAAACGTTCCTTCCAAATCTCGAATGTTCTCTCTACCATATTTCACAATTGGGCATGTCAGTGATTAAATAATTCTTGTTGATTTGTATATCTTTTGTTTTTACTTCCTCGATAATCAGCTAGATGATATCGATATCCTCGAAAAGTAGCAATCAACTTACTAGTGTTTTTGTAGCATGAATCAACTAAGTAATAATGATTGCGGGGCACTCCAAATTGACCTTGCTCTACAGCCCATCTTAGCACACGCATATATGCAGCTGACCCTTCTCACTCAAATGCTACATATATGAACTGTCTATCAAATGACACTACAGCCATAACATTATGTGAAGTGAATCCCTTACAGTTATGATAACGGTTCTGTATGTTGATGCTAACTACTGCAGGTATATTGTGGACTAGAATATACGCGGTAATAGAGTTTTAATCGTTTTTCTTAGCGTTATACGGATATCCAGCTCACACACAGAGAACACAAAATTTTTTACGTGGAAAACCCTTAAAAGGGAAAAAACCACGGGGCCTAGCCCAGTTGAAAAGATTTCACTAGAACTTGAGTTAATTACAATTAGCTGGCTCGTCTTTAAGGACGATCAAATTACAAATAGCAATTTTACAATAGAAGTCTGGATGTCGAGTAATGGTCTGGTAGAACTTCAGGCCTTATATGATGATCAGGAAGAACTCCGGGCCTTAGATGATGATCTGGTAAAGATGAGAGTCTTTGACAATGGCCTGGCAAAGATGAGAACTTCAGGTGAAGTTCTGGCAGAACGTAGGGCGTCCGGCGAAGATGAGGGTTACCTCTTCGTTGTGAAAGCCCGATTTCCTTCTAGGATCGTCCAGGACGAAGCAGGATCGTCCGGGACGATCAGTACATAATCTGTGGACTGAGAGGTTCGTCCCAGAACGAAATTTGGTTCGTCGGGGCGAAATTTGTCCAGAGAGCAAATCGTCCAAGAACGAAGACACTTCGTCTGGACGAGATTTGTCCAGAGGGCAAATTGTCCCGGGAAGAGTAGGAATCGTCCGGGACGATCCTGTTTGATAAGTATCGTATTTGAGATAGTTTGAGATATTTTGAAGAAAGATAAAAATCAGGAGAGAGAAAGAGAAGGAAAAAGAGAGGAAAAAGCTTGGTTTTGGAGCTCGCAGTGCGCTTTTCGTCCGACGCCGTTGTTGAAAGATTTGTTCGCCTCGCAGTAAGGACTCTGAATCCTATTTCTAATTTCAAAGATTTCAAGTTTTGGTATTTCTTTGCTCCGTTTTGTGTTTCCGTTACCGAAAAACGTGCATATCTTTGTATTGACGAAACTTTTACCTCGTAACTTTTGGTATGTTATTGAACTGATGTTTTTGTACGATTTAAATATTTTCTGGAAAGTTTTCACCGGGTATTTTGAATTCTGATGTGTTTTTATCGAATAGGAAATTATCATGCTGTTGAAAAATATTTATTCAATACAAGTAAAGTTTTGAAACGTTGTTTTACACAATTTCTAGTAATTTGGTAATTTTCTAGAACTGAGCCTTTTACACCGACTTCTGTCTACTATACGATATGTTAAGGGATTTTCTTCAGTTGAGTTAAATTGTGTTTATTGGTTGCAATGTATTCATGAGATGTATATAAATGTGGATATATGATTGAAATTACTGTTATATTACTGAAAGGCAAGTAAAGACTGGTTGAACCATTAGTTGGAGATTAATTTGATCTGTACAGGATGGTGGGCTGATGGGCTTTCCTTTAAAAAGGGTTTGGTGTTATCCTCTATTGATCATCGATATAACGATTGGGAGTCATAAGGAGTATGCCGACGGGCGGCCGACGGGCAATAGTGACGACTCTATTGAACCAACGGATACAATAATACATCGATATTAACCTTGAAAAACGCCTTAATAGCCAGTGATTGTACTTATCGAGTAAGACTATTGTGTTGAATTGCATGTTTTAAGTATTTACCTTATGGATTTACTGATATTGAATTGATCTATTGTTACTGATTGATTTATTGATTATCGTACGCATTTATTTATATCGACGGATTTATTGAAGATTTATTGATATTGAATGGTTTTACATACGGATTTACGGGTTTACAGTTACTGTACGATTTCATTGATACTACATACTGTACATGTCACTGATATAGATATTAATATTGCATTGATTCATTGATACTACGGACACTGATACTATTGATTCATTGATATTATAGATTTACTGATATCATTGATTCATTGATACACCAAATATTGATCTGCTTCATGTGATACATTGACCATGTGATATAGAATATATTTTTACTGTATTGATCAGAGATAATTTCTTTAGTCAATGATTTGATTGATTCTATTGATATGTTATAGATTTGACTGATGTTTTCAGATATGATGGAATTGACGTATGTATTGATTTATTGAGCATTATGGATTTTCCACTGTTTATCGATTCTCCTACCGATGACTGTGGATTTTATCGATTATTGCATTGATTACTGATTTTCGTATCTGCATAGATTCAATGATCATACGTAAGTGACTGGTATGGATTTGACTAATTGACATGTATATTGTTTCAGTACCGTGCTTTGATTTCAGTTGTAGGCTTGGGTGACTTGTTGGGCTTTTTGAAGCTCATTATATGTGGTTAATATTTTCAGGTCTGGGCAAGGGAGCAGGAATGTGAGGTTGATCTGAGATCTTCAGGTTTAGTTCTTTTTTGTTATAGTTATTCTTTTATACTCAGGACTAGTTGGAGATGTGATCATTGTTGAGATCCTGAGTATTGTAAATGAACTTTGGAGAATGAATATAAATGTTTACTTGATGTTTGAAATTATAGATTTTGTTAGACTGTTTATCACTGATTAATGATTATAGATATCTCTGGTAGAAGACTGATTTAATGGATTCACGGAATAATTCTTTTTAAGTTAGATCTTAGGGCGTCACAATAGATTATAGATAGCTCTGGTAGAAGACTGATTTAATGGATTCACGGAATAATTCTTTCCAAGTTAGATCTTGGGGCGCCACAATCGTTCCCCTGCTTCACGTAAGGAAGAGTTTTGGGCCCTTGGCTACCAAATCGATGTTGCTCCTCTTCAATTTCTATCCTCCTAAGGGTGTGTTTGGTATCAGATTGGATTCGATTTTAGTAGGATTTACTAAATCCTGTAAATCTAGATTTAGTAAATTCTAGGCTCATAAATCTTGAAAAGTGTTTGGTATGACAACTTTTAAATCCTGTTAAAATCAGAGAAGTTGTTTGGCAACAGATTACAGGATTTAAAATAGTTGGAGATTTAAAATTGAAGGAGTAATATGAAACCACTTAAGTATAGCTGTTATAAATTAGAGATAAATCTATGTCAAATAATAAACCAAACATAACATCATTCAACGAAAACATCTAAATGCATAAAAGTGTACATGACAACATGATTTTTTTTTACACTACTTAACAACTACATGATAGTTGTTAACAAGCCTTAACAACAGCAGAATTTGACTTTTAATAGGACACAATGGAGAAAAAGGATTCATGTAGCCGACCCCACGTAGTGGGATAAAGGCTTGATGTTGTTGTTGTTGTTGTTGTACTTAACAACTACATGATAGTTCACTACAACATAATGGTGATGTTGATATTTGTTATATTGGAGAGTATCTTTGACAATTTATCTGAAATAAAAAAAAATGAAAATTTACATAAATAATGTAATGAAAGGTAAATTATTATTAATGCATACATAAATCCTTACTCGGACATTCCACATATCAGCTAGGATGACATGTCTTATCGCTTCTCATTGAATCCGTTTTCCTATTGTTGTGTGCAAGTTATGATCTTCATTCGACATTTCACCATTTCCACATTCACTATCGTGCTCCATTTATGTCTATGACATATTGAAATACATATCATGTCCATCATATCGACTTATAAAGTTGTACAAAACTACACATGCAATAATTAGATCAACTTGAACGTAACAGGAAACTTCCTCATGTGAGTCAACACTTGAAACGTTCATTCCAAATCCCGAATGTTCTCTCTACCATATTTCACAATTGGGCATGTTAGTAATTAAATAATTCTTATTGATTTGTATATCTTCTGTTTGTACTTCCTTAATAATCAGTTAGATGATATTGATATCTTCGAAAAGGAGCAATCAACTTACCACTGTTTGTGTAGCCTGAATCAACCAAGTAATAATGATTGCGGGGCACTCCAAATTGACCTTGCTCTACAGCCCATCTTAGCACACGCATATCTGCAGGTGACCCTTCTCACCCAAATGCTACATATACAAACTGTCTATTAAATGACACTACAGCCATAACTTTATGTGAAGTGAATCCCTTATAGTTACGATAATGGTTTTGTATGTTGATGTTGACTATTGCAGGTATATGTGTGCTGTCAATTGCACCCAATGCATTCTTGAAGTAAGGGTGAAACATTGTATTTGAAGGTACAAAATGATGACATTCTGGAT